GCCCGGAGGCTCCAGCAGATGGTTCTGAGTCGCCAGCAGCGAGAAGCAGGTGGAAAAACAGGAGGAAAAACACAGACGAACACAGGCTCAGGACACCTGTCCCAGTTAAAGGCCCCGAGTAACACAGGCCGGCATAGGACAGACGCCTCTATCCGCATCTCGGCTTTCAGTCGAAGCTCGGACACCAGAAGTCCGTCGGGTTTCAAAGCAAATCCCATCAGGGCGGCTTTGGCCTCCTCTGGGGCCTCTGTGGGCTCCTTTGGGGCCTCTGTGGGCTCTTTTGGGGCCTCCTTAGTGGCCTCCTCTGGGGCAGCAGGGACCTCCTCTGGGGCCTCTGTGGGCTCCTTTGGGGCCTCCTTAGTGGCCTCTTCTGGGGCCTCTGTGGGCTCCTCTGGGGCAGCAGGGGCCTCCTCTTTGGGCTCGTCTGGGGCCTCCTTTGTGGCCTCCTCTGGGGCCTCTGTGGTGGCCTCTTCTGGGGCAGCAGGGGCCTCCTCTGTGGGCTCCTTTGGGGCCTCTGTGGTGGCTTCCTCTGGGGCCTCTTCTGGGGCAGCAGGGGCCTCCTCTGTGGGCTCCTCTGTGGGCTCCTCTGGGGCCTCTGTGGTGGCCTCTTTTGTGGGCTCCTCTGCTGCCGCCAGGTTGTCGAAATTCTCATTCACCTGCAATCAAGACCCCGCCCCAGTGATCCCAGCCCCCGGCAGAAACAGCCCGCGACAGACAGAGGGAGCAGGGCGTTTGGGAGTTTATTCAAAAGTCAGGAGAGCACTAGATCCCCCCGTCATGGCGCCCGGTAAATGCTCAGAACGGGCAGAGGAAGCGGCCGCCCTGACCCCCAGCGGGCCGGCGGAAGAAAGCCAGGAGGGCAGCGTGCGTCCGAAAAAGAGGAGGTGTTTCCGCTTAAGCCCCCCAGTAAACGGCGCCGGCCCCAAAAGCCTCCGCCCACAGATGTCTATGTTTGATTCCACCGAGTTGTGCGACGACGCCCTCGACACCGACTGGGACTAAGAGACCCCAAAGACCACCAAAGTCTAAGAAAAAACAGCTATGGATCCTTATAAAATTGATCTTGGGATCAAAAGCATCAAAGCAAAATACTGTGTTTGTATGTGGTCTCTCCTGCATCATGTCTGACTGGTGGGGGGCTTTTATTTGTGTCTGACGTCATCTATTGATGGTTGGATTCTGCCTTTTATTTCAGGCAGTTCAATATGTAGAATTTCCCATGTGGGTCACTTCCTGGAAGCCTTTCTCTGTGTTCTAAGTTTGAGTTGCGAGTTCAAACCGTGGCGTTTGTCGAACACAGACGTAAGCTTTTTTTTTTTTTTTTTTTTAATTAAGAGAGAGAAAGCAAGTTTTTTTTCTTCCACACCACTTATTTTCTTTTTTTTTTCTTGGAACAGTTTTCAGGCTAAAGAACGTCAGCAGTGTCCCATTAGATCACATGAGCCTGACGAGCCAAAACCAGAGTTCCTCTTTTTTTTTTCCTTTTCTAAAGAGCTGATTTTCATTTCCGGTTTCTAATGTGATATCACACGCTGACTGTTATGGAACCCATTCTGACTCCAGACAATCCACTGACAAAGCTGTTTCCACAGAATCACGGAAATGAAACTCGCTGTGTCGGGAGGCTGATCCGGTTTGTACCTCTTCCTATTTTATTCCCAAGACTAAACTTCTCACATGACGAGGAGCCTCTGATGGTTTTTGGTGTTTGATTCTGTGCACTTGGCCCCTCGTCCATGTCTTCTCCATCCCTCCCTGCCTCCTCTCCTGACCAAAAAAGACCACAGCCCCCAAACTGCCTCAAGATAAAAGATGGATGCTTTTACAATGTAGCTACTCCTAGAATTTAAGCATTATCCTGTGCTTTTTTTTCTTTTTTTTTCTCACATATGTTGAGCAAACCTGGATAAATGTCGAGGTTAGGTTAAAAAAAAAAAAAACGTGATGATAGAGATTACTTTTTTGGGCCATGGTTACATATTTTTTTATTTTTATGGAAAATCTGATCATTTATGTAGCTGTAAGCTTTGTGATGTTTTTTTTTCTCATTGAAACCAGCGAATGATGTCATCTAAGTAAATGAATAGTGAAGATGAGATATGTTTTCCATGAATATTGCTGACGAAAATTAATATATCTGTAATTAAATGTTATTTTATTACCAAACTTAAATGTCCACATCCATTACTGGCACCTCTTGTCATTGTTTTTTACTTCAATTTCATCCAGCAGCTCATACACTCCCTGTTCTTTTAATAAGTGGTTGGATGATGTTCCCTTGTGATGTATATGGTCATATCTTAAAAAAAAAAAAGAGTAGGGAATAAAATGTATATACACGTTTATTAGTGAAATAATGAATTACTTAAGTTGATTTCAAAATGGAAAGACATAAGACAATCCATTGTGCAACCACAGATGAAACATCTTAGGCATGTTTTCTGAAAGACAAATGATATAAACAGAATCTCAGAGCTTCAGTCGGTTCAACTAAAGGCAACAGGTGAAAAGTGCTATGGTGTGTGTTAATGGCTGCATCAAGTCTGATGATCTTAGTTTAAAATGTTTCGGCAGTTCACAGTTTTTCAACACTTCCAGACCGGCTCTGGTCCGGTCTGAGACATCTGACCTCACGCGGGAGTGACCCACTGCTCCTCCTCTTCCTCTCCCTCATTTTAGAGACGCTCAGATGGAACATCTCCACGATGTTGAGGATCACCGAGACGATGGCCATTCCCAGCATGAAGACGATGAAGACGGTCTTCTCGGTGGGGCGGCTGATGAAGCAGTGGACCTCTGAGGGACAGGGGTAGTCCCGGCAGGAGATCTTGGTGGGCATGATTATGAAACCGTAGAGGTAGTACTGACCAACGATGAAGGCCACCTCGAACAGGATCTTGAAGACCAGCTGCATCAGGTAGCTGGCCAGTACCACCCCCTTGAGCTCCACTTTGCCCTTTTCGTCCGAGTACTTTGCAACTTTATACATCCCAGATTTTCCGATTGTCAGGCTTCTCCTTATCTTGTTTTCTTTGCGGATGACCAGCAGGACGTGGCCCAGATGGAC